GCTGGGCAGAATGTGGAAGTCGTAGGTGATGCCGTTGGCGACAATGGTGTGGCCGGCGTTGTTACCACCCTGGGCGCGGCAGCAGATTTGCGACTCGTGGGCGAGGATGTCGGCGAGCTTGCCCTTGCCTTCGTCGCCCCATTGGGCGCCGAGGACGACGGTGACGGTCATCGTGAGAAACGGAGAACAAAAGACAGGCGAGGAGGCGACGGGGCGGCTGGTGGGTTTTCAATCTGCTTATGGAGAAGCCGACTTGGCCGGGTTGCGGGTTAGTTAGTCACATAGTTTGGCCAACAAAAATATTTGCTGCGTGCCGTGGATTCATTGCAGGCAAGCTGGCCGGGCATTTGCTGACCCAGGGATTGTTACGGGCGCGCCCAGTGTGGTCCAGCAGCATTGCTTGCTGCACTCTTCCAATCGACGCGCTGCCATATGTTATACCCGCAGACTCAATGGCTTTCTTGGGCCTCTTCACTTTTCCTCTTCGCTGCCCCGCCATGCCCCGCCATGCACGGCGCGATGCCGCCATTTTCCGCACGAGCCAATGACGCACCGACAACCCCCACGTGACTTGTCGAGTTTCCATGTATGTATGTAAGTATGCAATAGATGGAGCCTGGCCAGAGAACATGACTTCAACAATGTACCATTACCCAAATACTTTTCATGAATAATTACCACAGGCATCATGTCACGTAATCTACACATGAATGCAAGGGAAAAGGTTGAAATTTCCCTGTCTGACGCCTATTCATGCCATTACGCTAACATTGACTAAAGCGAAGAAAAAAAAATAGACAGCGCGTTGAAGTCATTTTTCCATAGTCGGTACATCCGAACACACGCTTAATGCATGTATCGGAATTCCGGATGCCGATATCCCAGGTCCTTAATCTCTGCATCCGTCTTGCCCTGCAGACGGTGATCCCTCTTGCCCATGTCACGCTGCCTGTTCTCCCACTTGCAGTAGACGATGCCGAAGACAGCAAGCAGGCACACACAGATTTGACCAGCGAGATTGATGGTGTGGCCAGTTGGGTAGCGGGGCGCATCTGAGCGAGTATATGTCCTGTAGTTTTTGCGTTAGTTCGAGTCGATCAGGCACGCAGCAAGGTGATTTAACATACCAAGTTGCCACGATACCACCAGCGGTACCAAGAGTAACAACGTAAGCGGTAGAGACGGATCTGACGGCAGGTCCAGCGGCGTTGTTTGCCGCCCATGCAAGGAATCCAGGACCTCCAGGGAAAGCGCCAATCGTGATGAGGAAGATGCCGCCATATCGAGTCGAGGGGTCAGTTGCCCAGCGCATGATGCAGAAGCCAGCAATAGCAGGAAGCGTGAAAACGGCCAGGTAGATTCCACGACGGTTCGTCTTGTCTGATATAAAGGCGATACCAATAGCAATTACGCATGCACATACGTAAGGAGGTACAGAGTACAGCTGTGCCTTTGTCGCAGTCCAGCCAAGATCGGCAAGGATAGTGGGCTAGTGCAATGTTAGCAAGTCATTCACACTTAGAAACACACAAACTTACCATGAACAGAGAGATACCCTGGACGGTAATGTTGATGAAAAAGAAGCCCAAGGCGCAGAAGTAGTTGGTGATGTTCATCACAGCCCTCTTGATGTGGTGTGGCTGCGTCTTCTCGTTCTCGTCGCCTCCACCCCGCTGGATAAGTCGCCTCGAAGCAATCATTCGTTCGCGCTCGTTCAAGAACCAGCACTCGTCGGGGCTACTGGGCATAACGAAAGGAGCGGCAAGACCAACGAGCACGGTGAAAAGTCCCTCGAAGAAGAAAATGTTTCGCCAGGTATGGATGATCATGCCTGATGCGCCCCATGGAGGAATACGGGCAAGACTTATCACACGTCAGTTCCCGTTTTGAAATTTCATCGCAAAATGAATACATACCCAGTAGCAAGGAGACCACCAAAGGCTCCAGCCATGGAGGCTGCTGACACGTAGATGCCGACACGGAAGAGAAGTTCATTGCGCTTGTAAAAGCAAGTAATGAAGAATGCAAGACCGCTGTGATGACTCAGCAAATAAACTTTGAGAATGCGCATCGGGTAATACTTACGGCATGACACCACCTTCAAATATACCCAGGAATCCTCTGGCCACGAGCAAGCCGGCAAAGCTGTTCACAAAGGCAGTGCAGAGCGAGACGAAGCCGAATCCGCACACGAGGAGAGGCAGGTACCACTTGGGGCCGAGTTTCTTGAGAAGGAGGTTGCTGGGTACTTCGACAAACATGTAGACAATGTAGAAGATGGATGTGACCCAGTTGAACCGCACACCCGTGTTGAGGTTCAGGTCATTGCCCAGACCCTGGATACGCGCATTTCCAATGTTGATTCTGGTTGAAAATTAGTAGCCAACTCCTCACAGTAGAGTGCAAACTCCATACCTGTCGAGGAAACACAGCAAGTACAGAAACGTCGTGAGTGGTACAATGACGCGATCGAGTTTGTGTCGGACCTTGGCTTCTTCCTCAGGGGTCCAGGAAAATTCGCCTTCGGTGGACCTGTCGCTTCCATTGGCCTCGTCGTCTGAATGAAATTCATTAGCATCTCCTCATCGCTTCAGAAACGAGTAGCCATACAAAGAATGTCTTGCCCCTTTTCAATCTCAGCAGGGGAGCGTTCATCCATAGCACTGATTGGTTGCACCATCTTGTGGGAGGAGGCAAATATGGCAGCCAGTGGTCCAGTCAGAGGAATAAAAAATTCTCAGTCGACTTGCTGTCGCCCCACAGTATCCAAGAGTCTGGGGAAAAGAATCTGGGGAAGAGCAATGCCCATATAAGGTCGTACGACGGATCCTGTGGCCGACGGGCGTCTTGGTCCAAGAGGCGCTATGAGGCGTCGCACGGGAACAGGAAAAGGGTGCCGGCAGTTGCTTTGGTTTCTGCTCGCAGAGGGAGGGCAGGCAGAACATACTTAGCTTGAATCCTCTTGTCCCCTTTAAGCTGGCGGCAACGGGGCCGGATGCGCCTCCAGCGGGGGAGGATTCAACCGAGTCGATACAACAACCCTATACCGGCCCGCATTGTTGCAAACCAACCTCCCTTTGGCTGACAACTTGCGGGGCGACTCTTGGCCGACAGGGGTTGACTCGTGCAATTTGAGCCGATGGCGGGGAGGAATGGCGCTGTGCTTGGCAGAGCGGGACGACATTTTGTCGTCAATACCTTGTGCTAGTTGGTGGCGAACCCGGCAGTTGAGGTACCCAAGCCTTTGACCAACAGCTACCATTGCCGCACGTGTTGCTGGCTGTAAGACCATGGTGTATCCTTGTGACCAAGTCGACTTTCTTGGGCGTGTGTTGAGGAAATGCGCCGTTGCTACTAAGCAAGTCCATGTGTGCCTGCTAAGTTTTGCATTTACCCACAGGCTCTTTCGGCCATGTCCTAAGCGAGCCCTTCATTTCCAAGCCCGTCGACAATATCAGTAGGTACGTATCTATGTACGCATTTGTTCAACTTGCATGTCCCTGATTATGCAAGCTCATATATGTATGTTGTTTAAAAAGACCCATAAGCATACGAACGTTTTGATATGAGTCGGCCCTACTTTTGCGCTTATCTTGCCGCACGAATGCATGTAAGTAAGCCTGCCTACCCAAATATTCCCCAGATTGCCATCTCATGTCAGTGCAGTCAGATTTTCGGATACAGCCGACTTTACTAGCTCAATGGGGCCGAGTGCCGGATCGTCAACTGCTTCTCCTAGAGCCTCATCGTCTCAAATGCGTCAAAGTAAAGTGAACGAGCCCGAATTCCTTAGACACCTGAAACAGCAGTTGCCAAGCCGTCACTGCCCTCTTGGGAAAGTCTTATGCTGATCGCATGCATCATACCACTCTAGCTACCGTAGAGTACGCCCGTAATCACCAAAGTAAAATCTCCCGACACTCAACCTTCTTGGCAAAGACAATACTCCGACACTCTGGAGTTTAAACCCAAGAATCCCCTAGCAGCACGGAGATTGCAAAATCATACGGTGTACACATGTATACGGGCCTCCGGAGACTCCGCAGCAAAAGCCACAAATTCTAGGCTACGCCTAGTAACGCCGTCTACAAAGGGGCGTCCAACAACCTCACAACACATCTAGCGCGAAACGCCCAAGGCCATGATACTTGTTACAATTACGCAATGACCGTCATGGGACTCCACATAAACGCACCTGCTAGATTGGCGGCCTCTGCTGGCTCGGATGGCCGACTTGCGGCTTTGGTTTCGGCACCTCCTTGACCCCAGACTACGCTTTGATCATTATTGGTGCCTTTGCAATACCCTCGGTTGCGGCTGTTCCGTCACGTGACCCTCACTACCTGGCTTCGATTGCGACACCCACATGCTCTGCTCGCCCCTCACCCTGTTTCTTCATGTGGTACGTTTTCCGGCAACCCAGAAGAGTTCCTACAACCGCTGCATCAGTCCTGGCTATCAGTATCCACCCATACAGCGCCTGTACCTCCTCCTTTCGTCCATCACCATCCGGGTTGCCGACGGGAAACATCTACATTTGTGGTCTTGTCGCCCTCCGCTGCTTCTTACTCTTGGCCATCTCCATAGATTTCTCGGAGCATTACCTTGGCACTCTGCATCAAGCTTCTTCCTTGCACTTGGACATTTGCACTCGTATTTGGCTCCCAGATCGGTCACGATGGCCGTTGAGCTACTATTGGAGAGCTATTGAGAATGATTCTTCGGATCTGCGAGATAATCCGGGTAAGAAGCGAGTCTCAGCAAGTCTTCACAGTGAGAGAGCAGTGTCTGAGTGAGTTTGCACAATTACTACTCACAACACGTACGCAAAATGAACAACTCCAACCTTATGGGCCTAATAAAAAAATTTGCTTTAGCTATGAATGCACACTGAAACTGATTGAAAGCCTATAAAAGATTCCCTGGATGACCAATGGGCTATATCATACAGCCAACCACCATCAACTACAACAAGCGGACAGACAAAGCTACCCCTCACAATGTCGGTAACACACATCATTTACTACAATTGCGGTCACCTTAGACTTATCGTATCTCACAAGCATGACGGAGACGAATGCCCCACTAACATGCCAGACACCACTACGACACCAGAAAACTGCAACCGCTGCATGAGCCCAAAGAGCGGCAGCGACAGCGAGGGCGCAAGCCCTGATATGTACTTTGAAAGTGATTTTTCGAGTATATCAGTAAGCTCCGGCGACGCTACTGATTCTGACTACAATGGTGACGACGAGGATGACGACGGAAGTGACGACGAAGGTACAGATGAAGGTGCACACCAAAGTGACGAAGAAATGCTGTCTGACAACAGCAATGATGTGCCGGCGCTTAGACTGAGAAATGTCAATCCAACAGAGAACTGCACAAACCCCTGGTCGGACATGTCAGAACTCTAGAAATGGTATGGATAAATGTTTAACTCGGCGAAAATTCCAAGACGGGGGCTGTGCAAGAGCAGCGTGCCAATGCCTTGCATACGAAGTCGAAAGCGCTATGATCCATGATCGTCTAGAACAATGGCAAGTCTCTCTCTTTGGTCTAGAATGACTGACACAACTACCGGCGACTTGGCGCAGCTATTCACGGTCCGAAGCAACCCAGCAAGCGTCGCCAAACTCAGGAATGCACCTGTTGCGGTCAGCCTTTACAATATTGTTGCCCCCAGTCTTACGGTAAGCTTAGCAAATTGTTCGTAATAGTAGAGAATCGCGAATTGAATCACTAGATCTCGTTTTGTGCATACTGTTACGTCATGTAGCAGCTACTCATGAGTTGCATGTGAACTTATTCCGGGCTGTGCAGTGATACTGATTGATAATATGTCAATGTTCTCCGTCTTCACTGATTTATATATAGGAGACTAGAATCCACATGGATGAGAGGAGAGGCAGATGCCAATGTGATTACAATGTGCGTCTTCAGTAGTACTCTGAGCCGACTCTATCCCTTATTGCATACTATGATATCTACAAAGCATAAATTACCATGACCTTTTATCCAGCCCACAAAGCTTGAATAGATGCCAAAAATTTCAAGACGACGGCAAAGTACTCACGAAGCTTGAGGTCGATACGAAGTCATAAGGACGGCTGGTATTGGATGGTATAATATGCGATGAGATGAATTAGACGTGAAACGAAAGGCAATGATTCAAACTCGCTACACCTCTGGTAACATATCCAACACACAATATCAACCTAAAAAAGAATACGCTCTTTTCATAATCACCCATCACCTGCCAGTCCTCACGTGACATGCCATCAAAAACGAGTCCGATGCGCGGCCGCTTAGTGGCGGCAGTTACTACGTTATCGATAAGCAACATTGGTTCCGACGGATGTTCCGACAACCTTCATCTCGGATGCCCACCTTCAACCCCCAGCAAGGCAAAAGAGCCCCCGCTGCCTCCAAACATACCACGTCAAACTCGAAAATATGCAGGTATCTGAGGGCGCTCCAGCACATGGCGCGGTAGCGCACCTGCTACCGCAAACGTACAAGAGGCTTGTGTCGGAATGGCTCGAGGAGGACACGCCGAGCTTCGATTATGGCGGGTTCGTGGTTGGGGAGGAGGTGTCGGAGGCGAAGCTACTGGGCAAGAGCGAGGTAAGTGATTCAATCCTCTAAATATCCATCTTGCTGACAAGATAGTAGGGCATAGTAGCCGGCGTGCCATTTTTCGATGAAGTGTTCCGTCAACTAGGCTGCACGTGAGTCCTCCACTATCCATAATACTCGGTACTGGGGGTTGACATGTTGTCAGTGTAGAATGGCATGTCAAAGAAGGCACGTCCTTCCAGCCCATTACTCACTGCGCCACGGTCCGCGGCCCCGTCCGCCACCTGCTCCTCGGCGAGCGCGTAGCTCTCAACACGCTTGCCCGCTGCTCCGGTATCGCTACCAAGAGTCATCGCCTGCTGACTCTTTTACGTGGCGCGGGATACCCCAACATCCTTGCTGGTACCCGCAAAACCACGCCTGGGTTCCGTCTCGTGGAGAAGTATGGAATGTTGGTTGGTGGTGTAGACGCGCACCGCGTTGATCTCAGCGCCATGACGATGCTAAAGGACAACCACATCGTCGCTGCGGGAAGCATTACCAACGCTGTGAAGGCTGCCAAGGCTGCAGGTGGTTTCGCAATCAAGGTCGAAGTCGAATGCCAGTCTTTTGAAGAAGCAGACGAGGCGATTGCCGCGGGCGCTGATATCGTCATGTTGGACAACTTTACTCCCGAGGGCGTCCAAGTAGCTGCTAAGGACTTGAAAGATAAGTGGGGGCGTGGCGTTGGCGATAGGAAGCAGTTCCTTGTCGAGGTTAGCGGAGGCTTGACAGAGCACAATGTCGAGAAGTATGTTTGTGGAGACATTGATATTGTGAGCACGAGCAGTATACATCAGGGAGTACCGCATGTGGATTTTTCGCTCAAGATCGTGCCGAAGAGCAAGAAGAGTGATTGAGAGAGTGCGGCAGTGTGTATTGGGTATTTGGTGAGTGCTTCTTGGGTGACTGAGAAATAGCTAGCTAATGCGCAAGTAGAACTAGTTGGTATAACGGCGGTACATATCAATATAATCAAACGCTTTGACGATCTCAATCAGAGTGATGTTTTTCAAAGCGCCTACTAAGGTGTGTCGAAAACAGAAATCACTGTGCCACATTCACTGCTACAAAACATGAATAAGACAATAAAAAGACACACAGCTATTGTGAACCGTTAATGAGAACCAGTAAAACTCCTACATCCTCGCATCACAATGTCCTTTCGTCTCCAAAATCAACCCGTACAAATGTTTATTCATTTCTCCTACTCATTTGAACAGTAATACTGGAGCCAAAAGAGGACTCAGCAACAGCATAGAAACATTTCAATAACTGCAACATCAAAAACACGCCATATCTTCTTCAAAGCTCTTTACAGCGGCCCTAGCCGTCCTCTCCCTCCCCCTCCTAACCACCGCACACCCCACGCCCACCGCCAATACCACCAACACCACTATATACACCCTCACCGACGACCTAAGCTCCAAAAACTTCTTCCCCTCCTTCTCCCTCTTCTCCTCCCCGGACCCCACCAACGGCTTCGTCCAATACCAAAACCTCTCCTCCGCTGCTTCCGCCTCCCTCCTCGGCTACCTCTCCCCAAACAACTCCATCTACCTCGGCGTAGACCACATCACCAAAGATGCCTCAGGCCGCGCCTCCTTGCGCCTCGAGAGCAACAAAAGCTGGAATCGCGGAGTACTAGTTGCCGGCATCCGACACATGCCCGCGTCGCAATGCGGGGTCTGGCCCGCGTTTTGGATGCTATCTGCGTCCAAGACGTGGCCCGAAGGCGGGGAAATTGATATTATCGAAGGAGTAAATGAAGCACGGGGGAATGCGGTGACGTTGCATACGTCAGTGGGGTGCGTGGTTGAGGATCGAGCTGGCGCGGGCGAGTTCGCGGGGACAATGGTGACGCGGAATTGCGATGTTGATGCCCCCGACCAAGGGAAGAATGCCGGATGCTCGATTCGTGCGCCGGATAGCGGAGAGAGGGTGCAGGTGGGGATTGTGCGGGAGGATATGGGTGAGGCGCGGGCTCCGTCTTACGGCACGGGGTTCAACGATGCGAAGGGTGGGGTGTATGCTATGGAGTGGACCGAATCGAGTATCTCGGTCTGGTTTTTTCCTCGCGATTCACCTGGGTATACGGAGTACTTCTCGCAGTCGAACGACACGGCTGCTACCTCGCCGGATCCGTCGACCTGGGGTCCGCCCATGGCGCGGTTCAGCGGCTCCGGATGCGATTTCAGCGAGCGCTTTGTCGATATGAAGATTGTGTTTAACACGGCGTTTTGTGGTGAGTGGGCGGGGAAAGTGTGGGATGAGGAGTGTGCGGCGAAGACGGGTGTGGAGACTTGTGAGGAGTATGTCAGGGAGAATCCAGATGCCTTTCGCGAGGCGTACTGGGAGGTTGAGGGATTACGCTGGTTTCAGAAATCGTAGTTATGGACATGTATTGGGGTTTTTCTTTTATTCTCTTGTATTCTTCTTGTTTTTCCAAGAATTATTGTAATCTCCGATGGATAAAAAACGTTTGGCTTATCGTACCTGTCGGGTAAAATGATGCTTGTATGTTTTTCAAATTACGCGTTTGTCTCCGTTGTTATTGTGGTGTAGTCTACGAGCAGGGAAGTCTCTAGCGCCTTCTACCAGCTTAAACTAGGTCACTGTTACCTACGAGACTTTCTATTTAAGCGAGGAAAAGCAGACTCT